TGACCCACTGAGTAGTTGCTCTGCCCGGACAAAGGTGGGTCAGCTATGGCAGAGTCAAAAGTGGCGGTCCGCTTACGCCCGACGCCCGGACAAAGGTGGGTCAGCTATAGCAGAGTCAAAAGTGGCAGTCCGCTTACGCCTGCCGAGCGTAAGCAGACCGCCCGTCGCGGCAGCAGATTGGGGTTCGGAAATCCTGCCAAAAGCATCCAAAAGCAGCATAATCCGCTGCTCCACGACCCTGGTCCGCTTGCGCCTGCCGAGCGTAAGCAGACCGCCCGTTTCTCCTGCCTGATCCTGCCTGCTGCACACCTACTCGCAGCATCTGGCCGCGGCATCCTGCAGCGGCACGGCGCCAGCGCAGAGGCAGGCAGCAAAGCCCACACAGGCACCTCTTCCTTGAATTAAATAGCTGTGGCTATCTGAGTTTTTTTCCGGCAGCCGCCGAATCCTTTATCGGTGGCTGATTCTGCCAGCCGCCGGATACATTTGCGCCTCCGCCAGATATTTTTTAGGATTTTTTAGGCTGGCTGGCTGGTTCCGCCGGGTCCTTTTTAGGTGGCTGGATGGCTGGTTCCGCCGGATACTTTTTCGGCTGGCTGGCTCGACACATTCCGCCAGGTACTTTGATAGCTGGCTGGCTGGCTGGCTGATTCCGCTGGATACTTTTTCGGATTTTTTAGGCTGGCTGATGCTGGCTGGCTGGTTCCGCCGGATACTTGTTGGGACTTTTTAGGCTGGCTGGTTCCGCCGGATACTTTTTAGGTGGCTGGCTGGCTGGTTCTGCCGGATACAGGTGGCTGGCTGGCTGATTCCACCGGATACTTTTAGCTGGCTGGCTGGCTGATTCCGCCAAGCACCCGGAATGCAGGGTCAATAGAATACCGAGCATGCCACAAGCGCTTTGCTATAGCGCCTAGCTGCTGTTTGGCGGGGTTCTGCGGGCCGCTTCATAATTTCCGTGGACAACCTACTAAGAAATGATGCCATTTTGTTCAGATTGGTCTGCACAGACTTTGCTAACCTTTGGCTACCAAACATGTGGTCACTGCTTTGCTTGCAGCGCCAGCGCAGGAAAAGCGCAAAGCAACAAGTGCCCTGAAGTGGACATGCCGGCCTTCAGCCAGGCGCCGTGGACGGCAGCAGCGATCTCTCCGAACCGAGCCGAAAAATATTTTGGAAGCATCACAAAGCGTCTGGCAACAGCATGCAACAGCTCCGAGAACCTCCGAGACAACGATGGAAAACCCCCCACTGCTGACTTCTGCGATCAGCGAGCGACATGCTCAAACTCTGCACCCGCAGCCGTCTCAAATTCACACCACTGCACCATGACATCCTACCTTTCGCATTTGTCCCAACAGGACTGCAGCTAATCTCCTGCAACCGGTTGATTGGCCTGGGAAATTGCATCTCTCGCTCCATATTGCTCCAGTTGCTCAGCCGAGCGAAGTCGACGAAACCGCGGTAAACATGCGTGAGCCAAGGATCACCGAGAGATGCGTTGGTCTGATCATGCTATGCCATGCTGAGTCGGACATCCAAAATGAAACGTGCTAGTTTGTCATCACTGATCAAAGCCTATAATATAAGCAGCAGGCACGCTCATCAAAACACCACAGAAACCCGCCGGCGGGGCAGCGCCCCGGACTAGTGACTATGTAGTTTTCATCCGTCAGCCAGCACCACATATCACTACATAAAGGGCTTATTCTGCAGGACCCGGGCCATTGTTTTGTCCCCGCCAATATACATAATTACAACAAATCTATTTTCGACCTACGTCCAGCTATTTCTAGCTAATTTCTACCTATTCCGAGCAAATTTCTGCTTATTCTAGCTAATTTCTACTTATTTCTGGCTATATGTAACTTATGTTAAAAGTGCCATAAGTTCACTTGATGTACCCCAGCTAGCAAAAGCAAAGAGCTTCAGCCAGCTCCGGCAACGTCGTCGCCTCGAAATCCTGCAGATTTGGGCCCAGCACGTGAGGCGCAGGCATTGCACCTCAATGCGCCAGTAATTAGAATGCGAACTGTCCGTGAGTTTTGGCTGAAGCTGGGAGATGGTTGGACTGGGCTACATGAGATCAAGGAACTGTAAGATGTATTCTGATGTGTGCTTTGAGGTCAAATGCACGATGGTTACATCGACAGCAAAGAGCCCCGTGCGTCTCGTCTTAACGCCATCACAAACCGTCCGCATCCAACATGGAGACTCAAGCGCTCTCACCTGAGGTCTTCATGGTGTTCCAAAGCTCCAACCTGCTCCAACCCAATGGGTGGTCTCGACGTCGTCTCATGTGCGCATGTGAATTTCATCAGCCGGAACAAATGGTCTCTATCGAGGTCTGATCCTCTACTTTCTTCGAGCTGGACCCACTTCCGAAGTGGCCAATATGTAACCTGAGAGTCTCTACAAGTTCACCTCTGCATCTAATTCGGACGGGAGAATAACATCTAATAATTCGTCCATTGCGCATGATTGTGCCATAAAACACATCATAGCAAAAACACGCAAAACAACGATCAACCATCTCACTGCCTGTGGACTTGGCCCACCCAACCTGTCTCGGCTCAGTCTCAGCTCAAGGTCGGTCTTGGGGGAATCAACAACAAAATGTTCTCTTCTCCCCAGGTAATGGTGCTTCGGGACGTGAAGTGGTTGGATGAAGGGGACATTGATTTTCTTCTGGCCCTGGGGGAAAGCAATGGCAGCTGCTGCTGATTTGCTATGAAAATCAGTCGCCTTGTCTGTTTTGGCTGCATTTGGCTGCCAAACCAAATCGCAATGGAAAATCAGTAGCGACACAAGCTATGCAAGCTGGGATTGGGAGCAAGTCAAACATCTGGTCAGGCTAGCTCCGGTCTCCGGCTCCAGTGTTCAGCCATAGCCCCGCAAAAAAAATATCGGAAAAACATGACGCTGGACACAAAGAATCCAAGACAACCCACGTCTCGTAGCGCCACGGACGGCTCCGCCTCCGGTTCCAAATTATGCCACATCACATGCCAGATGCGTTCCGCCTGAGTCAAAATTTCCACGCTTTTCTCCCAGTGGGGCACCCTTTTCGGTGAAGGTGGGCCAGAACAGATCGATCTACAAGCGATTCCACTGAGCGGATTTCTGACCAAGGCGATGTGAGAGAAGACCACCGGAACCACAGTTCAGGGTGACTTGTTCTGGTTGGATTCGAAACCAAACACTCTGGAAAATCGACTGTCCCGGCATGTCCCGGCGGTGGGACAGATGTCCCAGCTTGTCCCGGAATGTCCCGGCGGTGGGGTGGATGTCCGGCATGTCCCGGCATCCCGGCGGTGGCCCAGCATGTCCCGGCGTTGGGTCAGGTTGGGGTGGGGTGGGGCTCATGGCGTTCACTTCAACTAGGATTCAAGCGGCTTCAAATCTCATATCCCAATGTTGAAATAAGTGGTATGGGTTGGGATGGGATGGGGCTGGGGTGGGGTGGGGCTAATGACGTTCACTTCGACTAGCATTCATGTATCTATATGTATCTAATCTCCCAATGTGGAAGTAAGTGGGATGGGATGGGGGTGACTGGGTGAGCGCCAGCAAAAGTCCAAACACGTGTGCAGGGCCACAAGAGCGCACTCAAAGGCAGATTCTGCAAGTTGGCGCCGTCAACTTTGAAGATCTTTGAAGAAGTTGAGTCAAAGCACCGTAAATACCAGCGAATTGGCCTGACTCACATTGACACACACCTCTGAGCACCCTGGATCAACACCCGGGCTTTGCCACAAGAACCCAAAATAACGCAAAGTATGGCACACTGGGTCGGCCGTCCAGGTCGTTGAGTGCCAAACGGTCCAAATCCTCAGGCCCAATTTGTCGTCCTGTGGAACGACAGAACTGAACCCCAGAATTTACCGCACAAATTATGGACGCACCACCACCTTCTCCGCACCTGGGCCCTCACTGGACCAGAGATCCAAAAGATCCAAAAGAGTGGGGGCAAAAACATGTGGGAGCAGGGAGGGATCCGCTTTGAGTGAGGGGCATAGCAAAGATTAGCAAAGTACTCAGTTGTAGATGGTTTGTGACCAAATGAGCGAAAATGAGGTTGGTTCCGGCATAATATAGGACACCAACGTCACCTGTCATACCGGAGGGGGATTTTAGAGTTTTGGCACCCTAACAGGGGTTGGCAGAGGAGCATAAGACAGCCTGACGCATGCAGGGATAGATGTGGCACGGCGTATAATATGTGATATCTTATACAAATCAATTGCATATTTACTATTAAATCAGTTGACGCTCGCTGGGGGCACTCGTCACTCTAGAGTGACTATTTGCCAGCCGTTGGTACCGCTCAGACTGGTACAAGCCCGCTCTCCCCAGGAAGGGCTTTGCCGAGACCATCAAGCAGTGGGGGAAGAGACTCTTCGAGCCGAAGGAAGGCGCGAGTTGGGCTGCTTGATATCCAGCATCAATGCAGGTCAACACTCCCCTGCATCATCTATTACAATCTCCTCCTTGGCGCCATCCATGTGACTAGAAGGCTGAGTGACGGATGCCGCGGCCAAGAAAGCTTCCATCGCCCGGCATTGCCCCGAACCCATCGTCGCGAACCTTGCCGCTCCCACTCGCCGCCAGGTGGATCGTATAAGGTCTTCCAAGATCGCAGCTTCGGCAAAGATCGGGTCGTGGTCTTTGGGTGTGTGGAAGCCCCTGTGGAGCCACTCCAGACACGCCTGGGGACTAGTTGGAGTGGTTAAAAAGCGGTCAATGTAGGCATATACAGTATATATACCTAGCGCTTCCAAGGGGTGCCCAATGGAGACCTGTAAGTAGTGTGGAGATATCCATTGGTGACCCCTTGGAAGCAGCAGGTATATAATGTTATATGTATATTATTCCGTTATATTCCATGGGTATAGAAATGTGAGTATCTCGATCTATAGCTACTCTATAGCTGACCTCCAACTGGTGGAGATCAACAGGGAGTTGTGTCGGGCTGGGGCAAGCTTGTGCTTGAGCACCCGCTGATCCCAGAGATGGAATGGAGGGGCAGCACCGGAAGCATTTGCAATCCTCACTAAATTGTTGAATGCCACTTTCGTGCGTGAAGAAGTCATAGGCTCCGACACACTTGAACAAACTCCACTGTTTTGCGGTTTTGTAGATCATGATGTCATGGCACTCCATCTTCAAGCTCTCCCACCTTCAAGCCATCATCAAGATCTTTGCATACCGATCATATACCATGACATCGATTCATGATTTGAAGATGGACATCCACTTCAATCCTGAATCTCTATCGAAGTCGGGATTTCTCCCCGCTGGTCATCGCAGTTAATGGACCCTTCGAGCGCTCTCATCACTGTTTCACAGTTTTCCCAAACCCAGGTCCAGTCTGACCCAGCAGCCGTTCCTGAACACCTCATGTTAGTGATCTCCCAAAACTCCAGCATTTCGGTGAGGAACGACCGGATCCGGGGCTGGTCCGGACTAGGGCGAAAGCCGGACTCCGGGGCGAAGCGCGTTCGGCGATGCCCCGGTGCGCACTCCTCAGGCCCCTTGAGAGATGAGATTCTCATCTACGCCGCACACGATTCCAGGCGTCGGAAAAAACCATCTTCCTCACCTGCCGGATCCACATACCAAACCTCAGAAGGTGATTGGGGACTATTTATGTAGGCGCCATTGTCGGGTCCAATTACCTTCTGAGAAGGTATGTGGATCCATAGGGCTGCGAGGTTGGGGTAGAGGTGAAGTTGGGGTAGAGGTTGGGGTAGAGGTGATCCAAGTGGAATTTAAGCGTTGGATTTGAATCGTCATGTGTATCTGGGGAAAACAGAACCTCCGAGCCGTGGCCGCATGTGGCCGCCGTGGCCCTCCGTGGCGCCTGCTAAGCTTAGTTGGAGCTTCCAAACAACTTGGCCAACTCATCCAAAACCGTCGAAGACTAAAAACACCTTGCCGATCCCTCCTCTAACATGTTTGTGGATACATCTTGATGCATCGATTCTGTTTGTTCTTGGAGTTGGGATCCCAAACCGCTGTTCGTCTTTGGACTAGGCTCCGGCTAGTGCCTTCCAGCCGAAGGCTGAGTCATGTGCCTTTGAAATGTGTTGGAACGGGTGTGCGTTCTTTTTGGGGAAGTTACATGGAACAATCGGAATCATATGGAATTATACATCAACAAAGCAGAGTTTTTCTTAAAACGTACTATGCTTGGCTCATGGATTGACAGGACCCTAAGAGATTCCGCCAAACTCGCTGGTGCATTCCCGTCCGACTCGGCGCGCGCTGACTCGGAGCTTTCTGACCGTTCTTCGCCGAAAGGTACATGCGGGTGCTCTATGAGTGCTATCGGGAGCTTTGGCATGTGCTGGTGTGCCCCCACGACCCCACGGCATCCCATAGATCTACAAACACGAGCGGGGGATGTGCTGAAAGATCATGTTCGCACGTTTTTCCCTCCACGGATGGGCTAGGAATCTGGGATGCTCTGACCACAGATGCTTGTTTGCGACCGCAGGATGTTGTGTTCCAGACGTTGCCTCCTTGCAAGCCAGGTGCAGTCCAAAACACATGATATTCCACCAATTTACCAAACAAAACGGGACAGAGACAGCGACTAGGTGAAGCATGTGTATGCACCATCCGTTTTCAAGCCGTGAAAGGACCAGAAATGGGCGAGAGAGCGTTCCGGACGGAGAGTTATACCTGGATCTTCCAACTGTGCCAATGGTTTGCCGAACTTGGCTGGTTTAGATCGGCGCCCACCTGTTGCACCGTTGGGTCAGAGGCTTATGCCGGTCTGTCGCTGTATGTACATCCTCGGTGTTCTCCAGTCGTCCTCGGTGTGTGGACCCGACTGGCTGGCACCCGGGCACCCGTCGTCCCGCCTGAACCGAAACGAGTTCGGTACGACTGGAGGCCTTTTAGGGGTACTCATGTTGGCCGGGTTTGGGTCAGTGTTGTTGAGCCGCAAAGCACCGCATCAACGCATCAAGTTGAGTTCGTCCAGACTTGAAGAGATGAACTCGCTTCTGGACACCCAGACGTTAAAAGGGGTCAATACATTCCTATAATGAATTTATATACTCGTATTCCAGCCCCCCTGGAGTCCTTGGGTAAAACTTGCCAATTGAATCCTTTGAATCAACTCGACTTCTGTAGCTACGGGTCTGAGAAGCTGGCAAGAGTCTATACCATGTCGACCTGTACCTTCCATTCACCATCTTCGCCTTAGGAGAAGCTGGCATACCAGGATCAATGGAAGCGCTGGGTACAATATCACAGCCATGAGCGGGGACTTTGGTACCGCCTCTCGCACGGAGTGGAGCCAACTTGACCGATGAGTGGGGGCGGTGGATGGTGGATGGAGTCAATGAACCAACACTGATATCGGGGTCGGGTGCCAAGCCCCAGGCCTCTCCAGCCCAATTTCGACTCCTGGTAAATACGACATGTGGAGCATTTGGGCCGGGGCCTGCACTTGCTGACTCGTGCAACTCGTAGGGAATGAGGGAATGAACCACCCCTGTAGATACCTCAGGATCCATTCCCTGTTCCTTACTAAGCACGAGTCAGCTTGTTAGACGGAAAGGTAACTGGAACGGGAGCATTGATCCGGAGAAGGGGTTGACCCGTCTAGACTTCCGACACTTCTCCCTCGCAATCGATTTGTAGGGACAGACTTCCCTGGCAACCGTCCAATCACCCAGCCCAGTCCCATCTTCGGTGTTCTCACAGAGGTAGGGTTGGAGCTTTGTAGGGATTGTTGGATGATTCTGATGAATTGATCACTTCTTTTCTCCAACAGAGACCAATAAAGGTCCAGTCTGACCCAGTTAAAAGGTTCTTTCTCACCGAGCGTCCAACTCGATGTGAACTTGTATGTCCAACTCCACTTCCTGACCTGTATACCCCTATGGATCCACTGCCACCGTACCGACCTGGTTCGGTCATGTTCGGTACGACTGGACCCGACTGGGTGCCTACATCAGACTGTCGAACACTGCTCACCGCTACGCGACCTGGTTCGGTCTGTAGATCCATCGGGTGAGACCCACGACCGATCCGTCAGCCCCACCGACCCACCCCCGGTGACTTCGGTGACCCCCACCCCCCCAGGGCACCAAGATTACGTGCGGCCCTCTGCAGAAGCGCCCGACGTGACGATGATGCACCATCAGATCATGCAGTGAGAAAAGGAGCGAACGGAGCCAGGTGGAGTCTGGAGTCTCTGGACTTCTGAAAACCTGGAGAGGAGAGGTTGGTACGTTGGGGGATGTATTTGAACCTAGAGGGGATTGTTCAAAGGCTTTGGAAGGACTGGTCCTTTGGTCCTTGGAATGGTTGTGAGGTGATCCTTTTTCGCGTTGACATGGTATGTAGCTGGTAGCTGGTACTGAGCACCAACTGGTCATTCCACGATGGTGTCAACAAAGGGTGGCGATGATTGTGGCACGTGAGGTGAACAAGCAACAAGTGCTTGCTGAATTTGGTCGTTTTTGCAAGAGAGCATGGCCCGTTGGAAGGGACACATCAGCCCAAACCTACAATCCACGGTGTTTTGGCCAACCTGTAATGGGTGCTTTCACTGACTTGGTTCTTTTCAACCCCTGAACATGACCAACCTCCATTTGACCACAAATAAGGGTTTTACCTGGTTTTACTTCTTAATATGTGTAAATCGTGCATACTGCATACCCGACCTGAATCCTTGGGCCCGACCTCTTCGCTTGGGGTCCCGACCTCGCGCAGCGACGGATCAGACGCAGGCTTCGACGGGAATTTCACCCCGCTTCGCAGCACTCATCAGAGCTGCCGCTCGACCTTGCCCCTGAAGAAGCAGGCGGTCTGAGACGGACCGGTGTGACGAAGTTTTTGTTGGGGGCGGGCTTGAGTTTTTTTTTTTTTTTTTGACAAGGATTTCTTGCATCATACTGATACTAGATGATACGAACATGTGTAATATATGTCATGTCCAAAGCACCCAACGATACTAAATCAGCGCATCATACGGGGCGCGCCCGCCCAGGGTTGGCTGCTGGGCCTTGAAGTTGGTGAAAACAGGGGCAGTAGCGGGCCTTGAGTGGGCTGATGGCCCAGGTCGTTTTTGGTTCTTTTGTGGTGAAGGTTGTGTGAAGTTGTTGGTCTCATGCGGCACATGAGTCGCAGATGTTCCACCATGCTTTTGCGCCCACTTCCATGTTGGTTGGACAGATGCGATGTTTCATGGACATTCTGGGTTTTATACTTTGATACAAGCTGAGTGTCGTGAACCTGGAGTTATCGTTCGTTCCTCAGAGAATGGAGTCGTCGCTGATGTTTCTTCGGGTCACGTTGGTCACGTTCCTTCATGTCCCATGTTCGGTTGCCAACTGGAGACTCCAGTACGTTGGAGTAGGAAATGAATTGTGGACGTTTATTCATGTATAACACCCAGACACTCCATGTGTGCCATATGTATGCCTAATGTGTTCCCTTGATTAATCAACCCCCCCCTCCCCCCCCCCCAACTCTTGAGACTCCAGAACAATGTGCTAGAAAACCAATCAATTGATAAATAAATAAGGAATCCTTAGCTAGCTACCTTTGGAGCTACTCTGGCAATACTAAAATGAAAGGAATCATTACTTAGCTATCTCTGGCAATATTAAAAATGAAAGCTGCTTGCTGGACTACCCCCTTTGCTTGAATGTAAAGGAATAGAGGGTAAGTAAAGCAACTCAAAAGGCAAAGAAAAGGAATAAAGATTTAAAGCCTCAAACCTCTAGACATTATTCTAGGGGCCCCCCTAAATAATGTCAGAAAGCTGCTTGCTGGACTACCCCCTTTGCTTGAATGATTTTTTTTTTGTGTTTAAGTATTTTTAAATAAGGGGTTTTGTAAAGAAAGTGCGCACAGACTTTTGGAAGTTTTTGGAAAGCTTAAAGACTAAAGAGCTTAGGTAAGTAAAGCAAACCAAAAGGCAAAGAAAAGGAATACAGATTTAAAGCCTCAAATCTCTAGACATTATTCTAGGGCCCCCCCCCTAAATAATGTCAGAAAGCTGCTTGCTGGACTACCCCCTTTGCTTAAATGATGTTTGTTGTTTTTCAATGGAAATCTGCATCCAAATTTCAAAAAATATTAGTAAGCCAGAGAGGAACAATAACAATATATAACAATGAAAACATCACAAAAAAAAACTGTCCCTCCAAAAAAAAAAACTTTATTCTGGGTGCCTTTATTAATCAGTGCAGGAAAAAAGAAGTCATTATTCTGGGGGTGTTTATTCATCAGAGGACCACATTACTTTGCCCCCCCAAACCACCCAGTGTAGGTAAATATTCCATACATGGAGTGTTTGGGACATATTGTAATTAACATATTATACAGACTATATATATATACAGTTATATTATACACATTGGATCCTATAGTGATTTGGCTTGAGAAGACCCTTGGAGACCTCAGGTAAGAGCTTGGAGATCTCAGGAAAGAGCTGGGCCAGCAGGCAGTTGATTCCAACATTTGCATGGGAGCTGCCAGGATTTCGAGTCCTGCCACAAGATTCGGGCCAGTCTGATCGCACAGGAGACAGAGAAGCCCTGCTGCCAGAGTTGTTGGTTGGTTTCCGTTCAAAAGGTAAGAACTCACATATGTTCCATTCTTCTTTGGGGGGCCGGTTTGTAACAAAGTTAAAACCATGTTAAAACCAATTCTTGTTCTCTATTTGGATGTCATGATTCATGACCTTCAGATGGGGTCGGAACACACTTCAGCAGATGACCTTCAGCAGATGCATCGGAAGCAACCATCGCCCCTCAAAGAGACAACACTGGATCCATGACCGACCCTCAGGCCGTGTGGAGACGTCAGACGTCTGTTCTCTCCCCAGACCGGTTCCGGTACCAAGCGGACGGTTCGTCAGAAGGGACTGGGGTGGGTTTGGAAGGCACAAAGACCTTCTGAGAAGGTAGGACTGGATCCCTATTACGCCTATAAAGCATATAGGAAAAAGAACCATACGTTTGACATGTATGAACGAACTTCACTGCAGGGTTCTACAACCGATGGGTGCGACCGGTTGGCAGGAGCAAGTGCTCTTGGATTCCTTTCGGACGGTGAACGTCTTCCAAAGCCCTGATGAGTCACCTGGAGAGTCGTTGGTATTTCTTCGACCGGGCGTGGATGGACGCCCGCCCGGGCGTGGGCGTGGGGAGAAGGGATGAGAAGAGACGGGCAGCTTTGGGCGGTTGAGAACACATTGAGACGAGCGCTGTTCCAACGCGAGGGTTTGGTGACAGGGGTGACAGACCGTCCGTGTGACCCTTCAGAAGTGATATGAAGAAGCAACCTGCTGCGGCAAGAATTCTCGAAAAAGATGGACAAAAGAAGGAGGACCAACGAGCTAGAACATGGACATCGGTGAATCATAATACTACATTGGCTGGAAGACGGTCGAACGGTAGAAACCCATAAAAGGATTCACAGAGTTTCGAGCTCCAGGAGCATCGACCTTCACAAATCCACTTCCATCCATGCCGGATGGCAGGTTTTCCATCCATGCCGGATGGCCGTTTGAGCGAATTTTGTGAGAGGGAACGTGATGTTCTGGATTCATCTTTTCTGGAAGGTCGCAGAACTGGGGATGGTTCCTGATAGCTGTTTGACAGACACACCACAAATTCAAGTGGGAGCCGGTATTCCTTCAGAAAGTACCAGGGCCTCCTAAGGAAGGTTGATTGACAGCCCGTAGCCTCTAAGAGCTATTATTAGACACCCCTTAAGGGGCCCCGGTACAAGTCCAAAGACGCAGCCTTACCTCATTGTATGATCAAGTAAAATGAGGACTTTGACCTTTAGGGAATATGTGATATCTACAAACAGGTGGTTCTCCACTTCTCAGGCTTCCAGGTCGAAGTGAATCGTTTTAGGCATGAACATTAGACCTCAAGCGTCTAAGATGTACCCCAAAAGCCTCCAGATCAAAACACAGCTGCTCACCACAGCTTAAAAAAGCAAGCAGACTCGCAACTCGCGACGGTCGAGGTGCTTGGTCTCGGGCGATGACGTCCTGGCTTACCTGAAGGCGCAGCGCACCAGTGGACCAGTGGGGTGGGTGGTTGAAGAGAGTCCGATGTGAAAGCCCAAAGGTGAGGAGGATGTAGACATCATTGTTCAATCAATGGAAGGGTGGCGGTTTAGGGTGGTCTACAGCAGTGCATTTCTATTATTGCCGATGGCCTGTCAAAAGGTTGTGTGCATTTTGGCATGAATCTGCCGGCTCCTAGATCAATATATACTTTTTTGGGTGGTATTTTTTGGAAGTAGCGTGTCTAAACGAAAGCAGATCAACCTTTGCAAGACGTTGTTGTTTGATCCTAGATCCCTTGTTGGCTTGCTGGTCCTGTAGCCCTTTCTTTTGACGTGTTTGACGATTTCCTTGTT